ATATCTTTGTAGAAAAAAAAAAAAAAAAAAAAAATTTAAAATGCCATTTGCAAAATCTAAGCTAGCCATAAAAAAAAAAAAAAAAAAAAAATCGAGATAATGCCCTCCCCAGTTTGTAAATGCAACCCAAAAAAAAAAAAAAAAAAAAACTTTCCCTCTTCTGAAAGGCACTCCTTTATGTTGGCTAAAAAAAAAAAAAAAAAAAAAAGTGTGATAAATGTCATATGGCTGACAGTGATTGTTTAAAAAAAAAAAAAAAAAAAAAAGCGATTAAATCTCCAAGGAAGTTTTGGTGGGGAGAAAAAAAAAAAAAAAAAAAAAAATGCAAATGTGACTGACAAATCATCTCCAGCTGACAGGAAAAAAAAAAAAAAAAAAAAAACTCAGTGATCCCGGCCAGATACTCCCATCAATTCAGAAAAAAAAAAAAAAAAAAAAAGGCGTTTAAGGGCCCTGACACGCAGGCAGCTCCAGGGAAAAAAAAAAAAAAAAAAAAACAGCTCTTGAAGCCCTCACTGGAGCCAGGTGGCAAGCAAAAAAAAAAAAAAAAAAAAAGAAAGGTTTGGACTTGCTGGCAGGAAAATCGAGTTCTAAAAAAAAAAAAAAAAAAAAACAGATGTGAGAAAAGAAGTAGGTCAAACTGTGGGTGTAGCGATCCCAACTGGCTGTGTCCCTTTAATTATAGGGAAACTTTGAGCTCTGCAGCTTAAAAAAAAAAAAAAAAAAAAAAGGAAAAAAGGAAAAGTTCCTTGGAACAGAAGGATGGCACTAAATATACCAGCTGGGACGAGGGCGCCAGTGTGTGGTAAATGTCAGAGAAAAGGAAAAAAAAAAAAAAAAAAAAACAAAACTCAGAGGGGGAAAGAATGGCAGCAGTCCTTTAAAAAAAAAAAAAAAAAAAAATTTCCCAATTGATGGGATTTATAGGTACAAATCTAACAAAAAAAAAAAAAAAAAAAAATGCTATTAAATACAACCAAAGGTCAACTTTACATTCAAAAAAAAAAAAAAAAAAAAAAGAGGGTGGGAAGTGGGAAAGAAGATGTAAAAATCTGCCTGGCCCATAGTCCCCTGAAGAATCAGGGATCTTTCAGGGGGACTTTAAAGGTAGGATAAAAAAAAAAAAAAAAAAAAAACCAGCCCAGAGGCAGGGTACAAATACCCTGGAAGTTAAAAAAAAAAAAAAAAAAAAACCTGACTGACAAGGTGTGAAGACCAAGGGTTCTTATGAAAAAAAAAAAAAAAAAAAAAACCTCTTCTAGTTACAGTCTACCCTCCACTTCCAAGAAAAAAAAAAAAAAAAAAAAAAAGAGGCACAACCTGTGGCAGGGGCAGCCCAACCATGGACTTCTCTATTAAAGAAGTCGAGTGTGGTTGTGGCTTCACCATCTGCCCAGGTGTCCAAAAAAAAAAAAAAAAAAAAAACTCCACCCATAGTCCTAAGGGGTTTCAGAGAATTCAGAAAAAAAAAAAAAAAAAAAAATAAGGATCTGTCACTCAGCAGCTGTTTTGGACATTTTAAAAAAAAAAAAAAAAAAAAAGTCATCAGAGATTCCAATACTTTGGTGTCACATCTAAAAAAAAAAAAAAAAAAAAAAAGCATGTCCATGACGAATGTAGCTCTATTCTCGGGTTCAAAAAAAAAAAAAAAAAAAAAGGGGTTGTGAGGGATATGTAGTGAATGCTTCCCAAGAAAAAAAAAAAAAAAAAAAAAAGGGCAGGCCTCCTTTAGTGTAGGCTGTAGTGCACTGGAAAAAAAAAAAAAAAAAAAAACCCAACCTTGACCTGGACTGCTTGAACTTGGAGCATTAAAAAAAAAAAAAAAAAAAAACTTAAGCATACAACTCTCCTACTGGAAGAGTGACCGTAAAAAAAAAAAAAAAAAAAAACATTTGCTGGGATTTCCTTCACATGAAGGCCTCCATCAAAAAAAAAAAAAAAAAAAAAGCTTACCAAAGGCAAGGTGATTTTGGGCAGGAGGAGAAAAAAAAAAAAAAAAAAAAAATAATGCCAGGAACTCAGGGGTATGCTCTGCATTCAGCCCGACTCTGCCACTCACAGTTCCATAACCTTGGGCAATTACTTCCTGGCTCTGAGGCTAAAAAAAAAAAAAAAAAAAAATGCCTACCTATCTTTCCATAATATCCCTGGCAAAGCTAAAAAAAAAAAAAAAAAAAAAATTATCCTCATAAAAGAGTTACGTGAAGGTGCTGTATAAAAAAAAAAAAAAAAAAAAAAACTGGTGATTCATTCCTGGAGAGAACTGAGTGCGAGAAAAAAAAAAAAAAAAAAAAACCATTCTACGGCAAAGACACAGAAATGGGCAGGTAAAAAAAAAAAAAAAAAAAAAAAATAAAGACTGGCCAGGGTTGTCCATGCCAGGATAAGGAAAAAAAAAAAAAAAAAAAAAAGTGAGAGTGAGTGAAGAACTGATCTCTCTCCTGGCTTAAAAAAAAAAAAAAAAAAAAATGGGGAGAGAGGTGGCAATGGAGTGAGAACACGCAGCAAAAAAAAAAAAAAAAAAAAAGACATCATACTGGGCCTTCTGCTGGCTGGTTGAGTGGCCAGGAGTCAATTACTTAGCCTCTTTGAGTCTTAGTTTCCTCATTTCTGAAATGAGGAAAAAAAAAAAAAAAAAAAAAAGTAGCTATTCTGAGGATGACATTAAAGAGAACATAAAAAAAAAAAAAAAAAAAAAAAAGCCCGGCACGTGGCATGCCCTCAATACATGATAATTAAAAAAAAAAAAAAAAAAAAAAAGCACAGGCACGCAGGAAGTTAAAGGATCAACCCTTTAAAAAAAAAAAAAAAAAAAAATTGGGGGGGTGCCTCCTGGAGTATGAATCCTTCCTGCAAAAAAAAAAAAAAAAAAAAAAAGGTAGCCTCTTCCAAGTACCACTGCCAGTGAGGACAAAAAAAAAAAAAAAAAAAAAGCAGGGGTTGGAGGAAGTTCCAGTTTAGCGGGGAATTAAAAAAAAAAAAAAAAAAAAAGCCTTGAGCAACACACACACCTGGGGCCTCTCCTGAGAAGACGGTGAGCTTGGCCAATGGCAACTCAGCTCCCTGACTCATCAGATGCCAGAGTGAAAAAAAAAAAAAAAAAAAAATAAATTCGTCTTCCATCTGTGAAGCCTGATTTGTGCCAAAAAAAAAAAAAAAAAAAAACCAGAATTCCATATGGTTATTACTTTTTACTCTAGAGAAAAAAAAAAAAAAAAAAAAATCCTTTTCAACCAATGCCTCTCAAAGATAGTTGGACTAAAAAAAAAAAAAAAAAAAAAGCAAATTACAATGTTTGTATTTTTAATCATGTTATTCAAAAAAAAAAAAAAAAAAAAAACACCACTATCATGTGTGAAGGGCCCACTGGGGAACAAAAAAAAAAAAAAAAAAAAAACCCACATTATCTCAGTTATGGATGAACCCCACCCATCAAAAAAAAAAAAAAAAAAAAAGATTTTGGCCGAGTGTTCATGAGATTTGTTACAAAGTAAAAAAAAAAAAAAAAAAAAAGGCAATCCCATATGGTTCTCCCTAACAGTACCAACTGAAAAAAAAAAAAAAAAAAAAAACGGTCGCCACAGGGTACATTCAATACTGTGGAATTCAAAAAAAAAAAAAAAAAAAAAAAACACCCAAATGTAAAATCAGCATTGTATCCAAATGAAAAAAAAAAAAAAAAAAAAAAAGATACCCTTATGAAACCCCAGAATTGAAAACAACCAAAAAAAAAAAAAAAAAAAAAAAAGCTGATTTCTCTCCCTATGTTTTTCTTTTCCCTTCTAATGCCCATTCTCTCACAGTTACCCACTTAGCTTCAGTATTATTCTAAGGGATTTAAAAAAAAAAAAAAAAAAAAAAACAAATTAAAAGCAGCAATACAAACAAAAAACCCTTAAAAAAAAAAAAAAAAAAAAAATCATTTCTTTACATGACTTTATTTTATTTCTATATAAAAAAAAAAAAAAAAAAAAAAAAATTTTAAAACCTACATGTTAAAATTTGGAATTCCTCAAAAAAAAAAAAAAAAAAAAAAACAAGTAATGTGCTTTTTTTAAAGCATATTCTTTCCAAAAAAAAAAAAAAAAAAAAATATTATCATTTTTCAAACAGAAAAATCTTATTTTTTAAAAAAAAAAAAAAAAAAAAAATTTATAAGATACTGCAAATGCACATTACTAACAAGAGAGATGAATAAGGTTGAGATTTGAACTGTCATAATTATACTTCAAAGGCTAACTATTCAAAAAAAAAAAAAAAAAAAAAAGTCTCTTTTGACATTATTGTTTCACCTGGCTAACTCCAAAAAAAAAAAAAAAAAAAAATCCCTTAGAATCCTAGGTCCTTAAAGCCCCCATTTGAATTGAGACTTGAGACTCTCTACAGGAAGAACAAATCATCCCTGAGAAACTGAAAGGGAAAAAAAAAAAAAAAAAAAAAAGGCATTTCTTCAAAATGTACATATATGAAATCTGATCAAAAAAAAAAAAAAAAAAAAAATAGTCCTTTTTGGGATTGGAGACTCATATGAAAAAGAAAAAAAAAAAAAAAAAAAAAGTATAAGCTCATACATGAAGCTACACTACACCTCGAGAAAAAAAAAAAAAAAAAAAAATTAAATTTAAATGACTAAGCACCCCAAACGCCTGACAAAAAAAAAAAAAAAAAAAAAACATCATCACATCTGAGCATCACTCTTCTGGCAGGCACAAAAAAAAAAAAAAAAAAAAAAGCTCAATGCATTTTCCACTTGAAATCGTATCCCTTTAAAAAAAAAAAAAAAAAAAAAAATGATTTCTTTTGGAATAACCAGGGTGGAGTTTGCCAAAAAAAAAAAAAAAAAAAAATTTTTACCTTCAGTGCTGGGTTTTTTCATTTCTTCCAAAAAAAAAAAAAAAAAAAAAACTCTGCGAGTGGAGTTTACCAGCTTGTGTAACCTCTTAAAAAAAAAAAAAAAAAAAAACTCATCATCCGATTGTTCTCTTGACTGGCAAAGAAAC